CCACCAACTTTCAGACGTTTCACGCCACGACTTTTGAGGTACTTTAGGCGAGCCTTCGAGCACAAACCTGAAAAGAGACCGCACGTGACGGAAATCAATAAATACCTAAAAGATTCTTGGTGCATCAGCAAAATCAGTCACAGTGCTACATCGACGTCGGTCGATGTAAACGAAAGTCTAGCCAGGAGAGGCGACAGCCTTCTCTATTTGGACACGATCGTGGACGATCGTCACAACGTCGACGAGAACAAAAACAAATTGAGAAAACTGTTAAACAGTTATGGTCTCGAGACAACGGTCGACCAGAAAGTTGTCACAAAGAGGATCTGGGAATGGGTGATGCAATGCGATTCTACTATCCACGATCCCAGTTTCATAGGTGGATTTGGTACGGAGAATATGTGAGAAATGGTTAAATCTTTCAGCGAACCCTGCTTGCAGAGTATCAAGCAGGAACGCAAGTACAGCCTGGCAGATTTCGACGTGCAAGTCGAACGTGCGAAATAATGCCTTTATGGCGAATAAGCTTAATAAGCTATCGAACTGCATTATCCATGACGTGGACGTCGAGTGCAATTTTATGCATCGATCACATTTCCAACGTGTTCAGTAATACCTCGTGTAATAGACTTTATCGACGGACCGATAATCGATAAACTCTTCGCGTCTTTCGGGATCGTTCAAGGGCGATACCGATAAAAAGCATGACGAGGTCGTAAGGTCGCGCGATGCAAGAGTGTACGAGTGACTTTATCGACGATGCAAGAAGAAGACGAAGGAGGGAGAGAGAGAGAGAGAGCGAGAGAGAGAGAGAGAGAGAGAGAGAGAAGAGAAGAGAACAGCTATTTCACATCTTCTCTATATCTTTCTTTCTCTTTTTCTTTCTCATTAGTTGTACGAAAGAGTCTAGTCAGTAGATAAAAATGAATGTGATATAGAGGATGTAGTGATCGTGACACTATAAGGATAACGAAGTGTCAGCATGCCAGCCAAAGAGACAATAATAAATGTCAGATGAAACTTAATAGTCAAATACCTGTGTCCTTGTAATCAGTAAACCGTAGAGATGAAACGCGGATTTCCCGCGATTGAGCACGAATTTTTATCGGTCGCACAAAACTTTTCCTTTTCTTCGTGTTCATTCTCTTTTGCACGCGATCGAGGTCAAGGTATCAATTAGTATCCTAAAATATTCACAAGAAAAATGACGCTTCGACAATTGGATATAATTACTATTTGAATACTATAGAGGTTTTTTTGAAATTATAATCAATATGATATCTTTCGAATTCTATCAAAGTATTGCAAACAAGTTAACCCGAATATTTAAACAAAAAATTCAGTAAACATTAAATATCTTGACTAGACAGTTTTATTGTAACGAGTATGTAATTTTGAAAAGCATTTCGAAAAAAAAAGCTCCTATATCAGATAAAATGAAAGGACAAAGCAAAACGGATGCTGCAAAATCGACTAGGAAGTTTGATTGTTGTCTAATCGATAGAAAATGCATATATATAAATTCATATATATGTATACATACACACATACACACACATTATACATATATTCTTGTAGGAATTTATAGTAAGATGTAGAAAAGTAAGAGGATGAAAAATCTAGTGACGTTGTTCCTTAACGACGATTGTATATAGAAAAGAAAAATTAGAGAGTAACTCTGCCTAAAATACAAATGTCCGAATGCCGAACGTGTGTGCACCGAAAAAAGAAGAAAAAGAAAAAGACAAAGAAATAAGAAAAAAAAAAAAAAAAAAAAAGAAAAGAAAAGAAAAGAAAAAACAAGAAGAAAACAGAATGCAATCGTTAATCGAGAATCGCGAGAAAAATGACGAATGGCATTTTTGGTGCCGACTAGTAAGTACCTATCGCTCCAAAATTAATACTATCTTTTATATACGCTATTTAATTACCTAGCATATGACAATTGGATTATATTTTGTCGTAAAAATTTTGATCGACTTTTCGACGATTATAAATCCTGTCTCTCAGCATGCATAAATATTTCTTGATACTTATATTCTTCAAATACAAACTCACAAATAACATCTTGACGCATCATGCAATGAGTGGATTGATTGACACCATTGCAAAGCATCTTTACATACTGGCTAAAAGAGGAAAAAGAAAGAAAACGGGGGAAAAAAAAATAAGAAGAAACAAAATTGAAGAAAATAAAAAAAAAAAGGAAAAAAACAGAGCTAAAAAAAAAAAGAGAAAAAATAAACAAGCTTCGCGTCAATTCGTTCCTTGTTGTACTTCGTGGGTCCAAAAGTGAATCGGGAATAAAATAAGACGTATTTGTGATAATAAAAGTACGTAGGAACGACTTTGCAAGAGGCTATCTTAGTGTTAACGTTCGGTTTTCGGATCACTAACAAAATAAATACATCCTTATTGCTATCGATGAGCTATAGACTGGGATATTAGAAAAGCTGTAAGAAAAATGCCTCATGACCATTCATCGTTTCTATTTTCAATGCTCGAATAGTGTATATTAAATACTATATCGAATGATTGCGAGTCAAAGTCGATGACAAACCCTCGTAATAATTAATCCGTTAGATTGCTCCTCATTAATTGGCATAAATCATGTTAATTTTTTTTATATTCATCGATATGTATTATTCAATGAACTTGCAATTAAGAAATCACATAAATGTGTGATGTCAGAGCCAATTAATAAGCTTATATAATGTTTCGTTGTATATCAATATGTGTTCGTAACTTTAAAAATATCGACGTCTTTGATAACGTCCCTATTATTGGCACGACGAGTATAATTTTCTTTTTTTTTTTTTTTCTTTTTTTTTTTCTTTTTTCTTACGTACGACCAAAAGAGAAATTTGCCAATATTTTTTGCGCCAAGTTTACAAGGATTAACATGTTTCTGACGCCAGCCTAATTTTGAGAGGTTCGATGTCATCGATTTTTGCACATTACGCGTACGAAACGTTGGAAGAGAACGATTATTGTAAATAGATGTGTGAGCGTACGCGTGCCAAACACTCAGGGATCCCGAATACGAGGATTTCCGAACAGGTTTGTCCGCTTTTCGAGCGACAAGACGATGATTTAGATGTATTAATACGAAGAAGAAAGTCGAAAGTTTGCGTACACGCGTTTCTACATTTGTACGTTAATCCTGAAGATGTTTCAGTAGGCAAAACTCTTTGTAGATCCTTTCTTAGAAGAAATTAAACGCAAGAATTATTGATTTTAAAAATTGCCGATGAAGATGAAGTTTGGACTACGTGGTGCGTGGCCTCTGTTAAACGTCAAGCAATGTTTTGTATATATCGAAATAAACGTTGAAATTATATAAAACAATTATCGAATGCATTCCAAACTATCTCTAATCGATCCTAACCGCAGTACCCATTAAAAAAAAAAATTTTATCCAGCAACGATGACTTCCTTTTTCAATATAACATTCAGATTCGATGTATATATATACGTATAAATAAGAGACGCGATGTGTGACCCAGAAATACAAGTCGTGTAAAATATTGAATCGTACTTTCAAACCACTCGGAATAAAATATCCCACGACCTTGTACTATTTGGAACGGCATCCAAATATTTTTACGTGAGTCATGTTTCAGATAAAACGAAAATTTACCTTTAGCTTTTGCACTTTGTGAGTGGTCGGAAGGGGTGGGTGGGTGTGTGGATGGGGGGGGGGGGAAGTCGCGATACGAATTTTGTTTGCCAACGAGACGAGAAACGATTGTTCTTGAAACTACAGTCTGGCATAATCGGAGATAAATGGAAAAGTTATTAGAGTCATTATAATCTTTCGATATATCGTCGAGAATCGATAAGTCGTTATCCAATTGATTCGATATAAACGAATAAATTAATTAGAACGCGGCGGTCCATAGCGGTATAGCTTTTTGCAGCCCACCACCACGATCCCGTGGCTCGCAGAGCAGAATGCAGTGGTCGCTCGTCGGAGGGTGTGTTGTCATGACGACGTAGCCCGGATGCCCGGGATAAGGGGAATCTACGGAAGACCGCGCGCATTCCCACACAACTCGCCCACGCATGGTGCTCTCCGCAATATGGAGATATATTTCTGGTGCCGATAATAAACGCAACGTATGATCGTCGCCAAGTGTCCAATACCAAAAAATTAAATAAAAGCCCTTATCGTACGAGCCATTGACTGGTTATCGGTTACGTGACATTTTCCCACTTCGTAAATGTCAATGACAAAAATATATATATATATATATATATATATCTTTTTATTAACTTTCATTCGGATAATATCGATTAATTCTAATTAATAAAATGCACACTCACTCAAAAGTAAACGAAGCTTCAAGGATACTTTCGTTCAACCTTCCACTAATGGAAATATATATTCTCCCTCTATCGAATAGAAATAAAGCACGTACAAAGTTCAATTAGAGCTGACTAATTGCGCGAAGCATCTTGATTTCAACCTTGAGGTTTTTACAACCGGGGGGGGGGGCTGGAGCGTGCCCCGCTGGTAAATATTCGCCCTTTGACCTTTTTTCCTTTCACGTTTTTAACGTGCCAACGCCAAACGGTTCACGGTACGTCAGCTTGAAAAACCACAAAAATGAACTAATTGAATCTTCTCTACCCGGGTGGTAGCGATTTTAAATATTACCTCGAATAAAATGTTCCACTATTGGATTAAACGATATACCGGCGAAAATATCTCGAACGCGCAATTTTTATATTAAAAAATTGAATTTGTTTATATTAAAAAGGGAATTAAAATTTTATATATTTACTCTCGCAAGAAGACAATAGTCATTGATTTTATTGAAAATAATAAAAGATAATATTATTTGAGCTTTGTTCAAATCGTATTTTTATACAATCAAACTCATCGAATTTTCCCTTTCGATTTCTCAAAGTTTTTATTGCGAACTCGTGAGATCTAACGACGTCGTACTTTCGAGAAGTTCGTCTATAAACTTTTCCGGTACATCGTTCTGTGGAAGTATTAAAGCTCGAGGAAGTACATCGTCGGATAATAAAAGATTTTTCTCGCATCACTGGGATACTCCTCTCATCCGCATACTTTATTCGAGAACGATGAACTCAGGATGGAACATATGTTCGCGATTACACCGAGTTATCTCACGTGAGAATCTTACGATTTGTTGCCATCGTGGATTATTTCTTGGCAACGATCACGGGCCAAACGAAATACATTAGGTGTAGTAAAATTTGGGCTGGAAAAAACGTTTCGAGTAAAGTGAAAAATTTGAATTAATTTCACGAATTCGTTCGCTTCGAAGATTCGAGAACAAAACGAAAAGAAAAAAAAAAGGCCAAAATAGAAAAAAAGAAAAAGTGTGAGACAACGTGTATACCTAAGGAAGTTTTTAGCGATGCACCTGTCGAGCAAGCCCGATCGTTGTGATCGCTCTATATTCCAAGCGCATTCGTTTCTGAACTCTATCCAGGAGATTCCAAACGTCACGAAGCCGAACGTATCAATCGAGCGTTCGACTTTAAGTTAGCTCCCACACGACGTCTAACGACGCTCGTGATTCGGTGCCAAGTAAAGTCGAGTGGCGACACGTCGTCCAGAAGCTCGTCTCGTTCGTGGTGTCATCGACTGCCGCCTTGCCACGGCTGAGGACGTAACACCTGACGAGGGTATGCCACGACGCCAACGTCCGGACGTCCTTCCCTCCTCCCTCTTCATCCTCATCTTCTTCCTCGCTTGCGTCGCTACTTAAGTCAGGATGCACCCGCGTTCCATTATCTTGCGATTCGCTTATTTCGGGCCACCGTCTTGCTATTTCCGATCACGAATCGTGTATTCTTAGGCGCATGTTTTGACAAGCTCTCACGTTCGGCGAACCGACTCAATACAGACGATTTTCCTCGTCTTATTCCAACCGTCCGATCCAAACGTCCAACTCTCTCCATGCAGTATACTTGTAGATAGCTATAACACCCCACGCACGATTCTCTCTCTCTCTCTCTCTCTCTCTCTCTCTCTCTCTCTCTCTCTCTCTTTCTCTCTCTCGCTCTCTTTCTCTACAGTGTTTACGAATCCATCGGATGAGTTACAACCTTCCAGCGTGACGCAAATGTCTTCGTCTTTTTAGCAGATCTGCGTTATCCCTTTCTTATACGATCTTCTCTTGATCAATAGAATTTCCATTTCGAGAGTTCTTCGAGCGTCTATAAAAGAAACATTTTATATCAGGACAATTGAATTATTCATAAAAAAGAAAAAAGTAAAGAGAAAAAAATGATCGTGAAGACGATCATCAAAATGGATAATTGAAGCAATCGGATTGAAATAATTCTGAATGAGCGAACGGGGATGATTGAAAGAAAGTCGAGGATATTCAATGAAACGACGTTCGGTCCAAATAGACGAGCTCTCGCCTTCGTCGTCGAAGAGGACGAGAAATCGCATCGATCCTCAGGTCCAACGCCCCGGTGACTATTTTCATACCCGCTAACCCATTTATACATCGTCATACGGACAATGTTCTACTTCTATCAGTCCGCGCCTTGGCGTGGCATCGGTCACAAGCAATATTTAACCACTCGACGTTACCTTGCTTTAACGTTTTAACGCTTTACCTGAACGCCCGAGCCACGGCTTGGAAAGATTAAAAAAAAAGAAAAAAGAAAAAAAAAAAAAAAGAAGAAGAAAAAAAGAAAAAGAAGGGACGAGAAACCGTGAGACGTAAAGTATAGGAGACGCAAATCACGAGGAATAACTCATCGATTGCGGGTCGTTCAAGGAACACGAGCAAAGATAGACCCCGCTAGATGCAGTGTTAGAGAAAATAATCAAGTTTCCCCTCGCTCTTGTACCGTTGGTTCAAAGATCTCCCCTTCTACCGTGGTAATATCAATAAATTTCCCCCCGAAATACGAGGGAGAGAGAAATACTGGCGGTGGAATGGAAAATTCGTGACGCGTTGCAAAGGATAAAATGAAAAGATAAACACAAAGGGGATAGTCCCTGCGATGTCGTGCTAATATCGGCCAAGATGCAGATCCTCTTGAATAGGATAAGCGGGTACATAGAGGGGTAGGGGACATGGGGGGGGTGGGGTTGTTTAACCCCAACTGACCCCACCCCGATTGGGATAGCAAACGTGGCACGCGAGACAAGGCGCGCGCGTTTCGCGACGTGCAGCACTCGGTGTATTTCGGTTCGGTGGCTGGTCTCGTTTTACGACGTTGCCCGATTCCCTCTGACGTCAAAGAGCCGCCTCTTTCAGGACGCGCTCGTGCCAGGTTCGGGGAAGCGGTGGGACGCTAGGGAGGAGCTGCTAGAGGTGGAACGACGCTTGGCCAGGACTCGAGAAAATTTAAAGGCCGTTCAACTACGGTCCAGGGTTCAAGCACCCCTCTCTTGTCTGTCTCTTTCCCTCCCTCTCTTTCTCTCTCTCTCTCTCTCTCTCTCTCTCTCTCTCTCTCTCTCTCTCTCTCTCTCTCTCTCTCTCTCTCTCTCTCTCTAACTCTCCTTCTCTTTCTATCTCCTACATGCAACGTGGAAAAACGTGATCGCAACGAACGCGATGTCGACCGAGATGGAGTAGGTGGTGCAGACTACTATGGCGACAAAGACGATAATCCAACGGCGTAAACACAGGCTTTCTCTATCTTCCTCCCTCATTCTTTGAGGCACCGAGCGAGAAAGATATTCTCCCTTCTCTCATCCTTGCTTTTCCCTCGGTCAATTTTCAGACCGCTGCAAGATAAAGTTCGATGACCAAACTGGTTATCTTTACGACTGGATGCTTCTAAAAATGTACAGGTCTCTCGGTAAACGAACAAAAATCGAAGGCAGGTGGACCGGTACGTTCTTATTTTTGGATCCAAGAAAGCTTCGTCGTTGTCTGTGCTCGCTCGTTACGAGAATGCATTCGTAACAAATAAAATCGTACTTTCTCCTCTTTAAGGGACTCCTTTTAAAATCATTAGTAGATTTCATCTTTTAAAGTTTAAACTAACTTCGTCGTTCACTTTCTTTGTTCAAAACTATTTGCCCTTTGTACCAACTAAGTACATTTTCCTTCATTTCCACATGATATGGTTATATAGCAAAGTTCTTTGGATCGTCAGAATATGGTCAGTGACCTCGTAAAACGATTAAGCTGCTTGCGAACTTTCCGAAGACTTACGAGTTGGTGGTAATCATTCGAAGATCTAAAAACGTCGAATCCTTTTCAACGCCTTTCGATAACTTCGACATAAAATATAAATACACACCCTCGCAGGAAAGAGGAAACATAAACTGGACCGTACGTAGGGGTAACGTTTATTGCACAATTCGATGAACGACGTGCTCTCTGGATTTGTACTCGTATATCTCATAGTCTTCGAAAATGTAATTTCTACGAATTTGTTTGTTTCGCCTTCAAAAATCATGCGCTTTTAAAGATCCTGCGACGAAACAACGAACGATTAATTTATATTAATTCAAAGAAGCGAATTTTTTCTCTTATAAAAGTGATCGTCGCAACTCGACGCAACTGGCGAGTTTGATATTATAAAGTTACGTCTCACGAATCTGGGCCGCATGAGTACTAAAGCATGTCACCTGTCGTTGGTTTAAAATCACTCTGGAAGAATACGAGGGTGATAGGATTATATGCTGCCAAAATCTAAGGCATTCGTGACCGATGGAAACGCCAGGAAGATTGATAATAGTTCTTCGGAAATCGTCGACGTGCGTGGGTGGATGAAAGGTAGATTATTAAATAGAGGAGAACTTCCCTGTCACTAAGCGATCTAGTTTCTCGATCCTTAAATCGTTTATCTCAAAATATACGTTCGAGTGAATGACACGACGAAAACGATCGCGTACATATGTGCATTAACCCTTCCTGATAAATACTTTGAAGTAATCTAGAAATATTAAATAAAAGCTAATGGTTAACCATTACAATTGTTTGATATTCATTTGAAATTCTTTACTCGAAATAATGTACCTTTAAATAAATAACGTTGATTTTTTAAAATGCGAAAATCCTGGAAACGGCAAGATTCGACAGAAAGTTCCGTTACGCAGATAGCCTTCTTCGAAAGCTTTACGATTTTTCCCGTTGAAAAAAATGGGACGGATTTGTCTTTGCGTACATATAAATCTCTGTCTTTCTCTCCCTCTCTCTCTTTTTGCGACTCCCAGGTGACGCACTTGAAACTCCATGACTTTCTGACGAAATTAGCGACGACGCAAAGACGTGAAATTGCATTTTTCGCAATACGCGCGCGCACGTCCATACACGTTGTGTATGTATGTATCGTCGAACGTGCCGATAGAAAAATACTCGGATCCTTTTTCTCTTTTGATTCAAACGAACGAGTAGTTTTCCACCCTTTCTATGGGCTGCAGTTGAGCACGAAAAAAGAAGGAGTAGCGATCGCACAGTCCAACCCTCTAACAAATCCTCTCTTCACCTTCTCCCTCGCTCTTGATCTTTGTGCTGTCTAGCGAAAAGGGAGTCGGGGCTGTTGCTGGTGTTGCTTCTGATGCCGGGGCGAAGTCTATTTTTGGATTCGAGTTAATATTTGACGCCGGCAGGGTTGCCGCTGGCAGATCTAAAAATACTCAATCAATACGCGCGAACCACGACGGAATTAAGATCGCAGGTGTAGCGCGCGCTCGTGAACATATGTATACATACGAAAGATTCAACCCCCGAAGGCAAACGTACGGAAATCTACTCTATTACTCCTTACAATCTGCAAACACAAACTCACTGAGCTTCTATTACTTTTTCGTAATCGATATTTCTTCGACGTCAAAGTTCGTCTGCAAAACATCAAAGAATCATTAATAAGAAAATATGTAAAACAATATTCAACCATCGATATGACGATTTCGAATACATTGACATATTTAAATTCTCAATAATAATAATAATAATAATAATAACAATAATAATGCATAAGAAGAAATCTATACCTAACCACGAACTTTGATCGTTAGTTCCTCACGAAATCGAGCTAAGACGTTGGACGTTGTTGTTGCTTCGCCGTTTTATATAACCATCGACTAACGTTGATTACACACGTACATACTGCATAAAGTACCATGAAAAAGAAAAAAAAAAAAAAGGAAAAAAAAAAGAAAAAAGAAAAGAAAAAGAAAAAAGAAAGAAAAAAAGATAAAAGAAAAATGTCGACTCGGCCTTATTCGTGTCCTCCTCTTACAACGAAAAGACCTCGACACGGTATAATAGAACGTTAAAGCAATGTCAAGTACGTCTATTCCAGGCCTTATGAGATCGCCACCACGATGTACACGTACGTACATACATACGTATATATACATATACACACACATATCGAACACACGTGACTTTAACATGCCTTTCTTGATCTCTAAAGTTTGTTTCATCCCACGGCACATTTCATCGAGTATCACGCTACGATAATTCCAGAAACGTTAGAAGCTTCGTCGAGAATGTTTCCAGTGGGGAAAATTCAGTCGTACCGTAGATATGTAGTCTTACGAGCTTGTAAACTCGCGAAATATTGCAGTTTTTATATTCAGCTCTCTCAATGCTCAAAAACTTTCTCAATGGCACTATTCTCGCTCTTTTCTCCTACTCGTTCTTTTTTTTTTGGAAACCTACAAAATGCACAATTCCTTCGTAACTATCGTCGACAATCTGCCCACGCGTTCATACTTCTGGAATTGTGCTTCGTAAAACTTTCCGTCGTCTGGTAACTTTATGATCTCCTTTATGAATTCGAACAGTTAAGAGCACAACGTTCAATTTCATCTAATATTAGATTAATAAAAGTGCAAGCCATTTAACTCTAGTTATTTCATTTAAATCATATCATATTTCGATGAATAACGAGAGAAATGAAACCGACTTGAGAAATAAAAGTGCGAGTAATGCGCATAAATCGCAAACAAATAGAGGAAAAAATTATTTATGAGTAGTTACGATATTATAGTAGAAATCCTGTTATGATGTCATTAAATGTATTAATGTACATTATTTTAACGCGTGACTGATCCTGCGCAAGAATCGACTGTTGACGTAGTCCAGCTGTGACGTCACGTTCAAGGATAATCGAAACTAAGTAACAGAACGTCCACCGAAATTATCTTCAAAATATTCGTTGTTCATCGTAATGAGAAACAATTGTACTTGCGATTCAGCGCTAGCTCCTTTTTATCTTTGGTATTGCGAAGAAAAAAAAAAAATTAAAATTGTCTATAACAAAGGAAAATTTGATTAATACAGCGGCTAAAGGTCTTACAATACAGATACGAAAAGAGAGAATATAATGCAAAGAATAACGTAGGGTGATAGTAAGTGACGTCAGAATTGTCATGGTAACTCCCCTAAAGTTTATCTTGACTTAGTACTATAAGAAATAAATTCCATCGGCCAGTACAAAGACCCAGGATATTTGTACTGGAGACACAGATAAGTGTTTAGAGAAATATAACATTACAAAAGATATGAAATTAAATATATATAATTATAAAATGATCAATCTATTTTTAAAACAAATTATATAGGTATTTATAAAAAAATTAAAAATTAACTTTCCTTTATAAAAAAATAAAAAACACCGTATCATAATATCATTATTATTAATATTATCTGTTTTCTAATTTTTTCAATTCCCCTATTTCTGTTTGATGGGATTCAAATGAAACTGATTTTAAAAAATCTTTATCGTATATCTTCCACAATCTTTTAAATTCATCTATGAATCTTTTTAGTAATATAGGATGATTGGTTATTATAATATTTTCTGAATTTCCAAATAATGCCTGCATTGTCCAATTAGCACTTCCTGTGATAAGAATATCATCATCGATGATGGCAAATTTATGATGCATAAGATTATCTGTGGATTTAGTTCTAACTTTAATACCTGTAAGTACAGACATTTTTAAGAATTTTAACTATATCGACTTATTGCATGAAACATATATAAAGTTTGGATAAAAAAGATACGAAAGCCTTTACAATGATACATTGCATGTTGTCAATATCAATGATAAATTGATATTGTTATCGGTAACTCAGTTGATGTTCAAAGATATTCCTATTATTATGCGGTTGACTTACTTGCTTTACGGAAAGGTATAGCTTGATTGTCATTGTGTTCTGCCATATTAGCATCAATTATAATTCTAACTACGACTCCACGTTTCTGTGCTTCCATAATAACATCGGCCAATTGTTGAGAAGTAAAAAAGTACATGCACACGTCTATAGTGGATTTGGCAGATTTCAAATACTTTTTCAATTTACTAAAAAAAGTTATTATAAAAACTCTAACGTATGTCTCAATGGCACAATGGAAACATTATACATTAAAGCTTCATTTATAGAAGTTATTAAGCATTTCCTTTATAAAAGTTATTAACGTGATATTTAATTATTCCTTGTTCTTACTTCAAATTAGCCACGGCACAGTTTAATTCGTTGCAATTATCATGAAAATTGAGATGTGGTCGACAAAATGCTGATTCTTCCATAAAAAATAATACTTCCATTATAGATCCTTTCTTCTGTTTAATAAGAGAACCTCTAAAAAAAGTGTTCCATCCTAAATTACGACATCTTTTATATCCTTGCCAAATGATTTCCGACGAAATAACACCTGCTGCGATAAAAAACATCGTTGATCTATTCATTTTTATACTCGATATTTCACCCTTGGTCCTTTTTACGAATAGAATAATCAGATAAAAATTACACTAAGCTTGCGTGTGATTTTTTTCCCCAACAGCTTTTCTTAATCTGTTTCCCGCTAAAATACAAATAATAATATATATATATATATATATGTGTATATATGTATGTGTATATCCAAAGAAATCATTTCTATGTATAATATTTATACTTGATCGAGACTATGGATAAAAATTGCTAATATCTTTCGTAAAAATTACAATAATCGAAATTATATCGTAAAATAAAACTTATTTTTATAGAAATTTATTTTTCTTACCGAAATTTTTTTTTTCACCATAGTAGACTGCACTGTAGAACGGCATTGTCACGGTAAAACAGGATGCCTTCGATTATTATTGATCTACATTTTTCTTTTACCGACTGTTCACCATAAAAATTAGACGAATTTCTTCTTGGTACGAATATAAATAATAAAAGTATGAATAAAATAATGGACAACGAACGTATAAAAATTTAAGAAAAAATTTATAAAAAATTATATATTAATTTAATAAATACTTCTATTTATAGACATAACCTCGTCGACAGTATTTGCGTTATATCACAAAATAAATATTACATCGTAAGTAATATCAATGGTCGTGGTAATGAGAAATATTGAGGAGAATGCTACTTATGGAGACACCATTATTTTTAATATTATAGTACGAATTAAATATATTGGATGTAATATGCTTTAATACGATTTATTACTCCGTTGAACTTATTATTACATATTTCCGCAACCTAATGACCGAGAGAGAAAGAGAGAGTACAAAAACTCAATCGTTCGTATTGTTTGCCACATCCGTAATCCTTGATAATTTTATATATAACAATGTGTCTTTATTACATATTTAAATACATATACAAAAGCATAGCATTTTATCAAATACAATAATATAAGAAAGAACTAACCTATCTTATTAGACAGTCTTATATATTTTTTTATGAATATTTTATATATATATTTTTTTTTTAATACAAAAGTTGTAATCCTTACTTTAGAAAATGAAAAAATTTGTAACTATGACGCTAGTCATCCGTCTGCTACAACTGCTCCTACGTAAATGACGAGGGGAATCATGGCGGCTGCGATCTGATTGGCTCTTGACTATCGCTGATCTTCCAATCGACTCAACGCGCGAAAATCATATAACTTTAAAATTATTATTTCAATATATTTGATATTAAATCAAGTAATAATTAAAATAATGAAATATGTGTACATCTATAACGACGTATTAGAAATAATTATAAATCAATAGTTTTTTAACTTTGAACAATTTGTTTCGATATAAATTCTTTGTCTCTATTCCACAAAATATTGCAAATAGTATTTAATTGGTAAGAACAGTCAAAAAGCTCGGATCTGTTGGTTAATTTATTAGAATCAATTTTAATAATCTTCACTTTCCACTTATCTTCGAATTCTTTAACTTGAGTTTCTTCCACCATTGAATTTGACCATGGCTTAAATCTGTTAACATCAAATACAATAAAATAATGGTTGTTTACACTTCAATAATTATTATCTATAGTAAATATTGTTTATATAATCTTACTTTGTGCCGATTACTATATTTGCAGGTTTTTCTTTGATTGTACTCATTGTGTTTATCAGATAAGGTATGTCATTAAAACTGGTTACATCATCGAAGGAAAATACAGAACAGATTGCATCTACTTTATCTTTACATGTCTACAAAATATGCACACACATATAAACACACACACACACACATATGTATATACATGTATACTATGCATAGAAAGAGGCATACTGGTAAAATATGATTATATTTTTTAATACTGCTTTCCGATGTATCCCAAAATTGTAATTTAAACAATATGATCTTATCCCATATCTTTACTGGCCAAAATACATTTGTCTTTTTTATGCCATTCGTTTCAACATAGTTGTTGGGTTCTGAAAAACCAGCTAAACGTGTTATGACAGAAGTTTTTCCTACGCCAGATCTACCAATCATAAAAATTTTATAAGTAACTTCCTCGATGGAAGATGGCAATGATGGCTTTTCCAAGATACCTAAAAACAGAAAATATCTATTACCGAATAGAACATATTTCCTTCTCTAAAATCTTGAAAACAATCAGTAAATCCATAAAATATATGAAAGAAATTATCATAAAAGTTCGCAATTGTCAATTACCATAAAACCTTCTTTTCTTAGATGAATTTACATAAAAATGATGCATCAATGATTCACCCTCTGCTGAGCTTAACCAATTCATGTTTATTGCATTCATGATGATGTTAAATGGAGTATTTAAGTTTCTATGTTGACGTAATTATAACAATGTATGTACCTATACAACATATCACATGTTAAAAACGTATATTAAATTGTTTATCAACTACATATATATATATATATATAAAAAAAAAAAAAAAAAAAAAAGAGAGAGAGAAAAAAGAACAAAACAAAACGTAAATAATAAAAAGATTAAGTCGTCAAATAGAAAACTTTTCGAGATAGCGTATGTATTAATTAAAATAATCGATGAAAATCGATTTCGATTATCAGAATTCCGTTTATTTATCAATATATCGAATACGTAACGATATCATCTAAAGTTCGTCGGTATGCTCGTTCTTTTTCGCAGATAGATGGATCCAACGGTATTGACCAATAGAAGCAAATCCCGCCTTGTTTGCACCAATGAACGCTCACATTTCCCCCAATATTTGAATGACAAGCATTTCTATTAGCCGTGAAGTTAGCAGTGGTACAACATCCAACGTTACATTGGCCAATAAAATCCACTGATCATACGTAACGCGTTGTTTGCAGTCATACCGCCATATTGTATATGTAGCGCGGGTCACTGGCGCGTGTATGGGACTTTTTGTGAATATTTCGTGAGGTAAAAGTGTGTGAATCGACAAAAATCATAGGATAATACACGCGATGGATCCGGCAAAATTAAAAGTGGTTGAATTGAGATCGCAGCTGTCTCAGCGAGGTCTTGACACGAAAGGCAACAAAGCGGTGCTTGTTGAGAGACTTCGTAAGGCGTTGGAAGAGGAAACGGAAAACAGTAAGTTTTGCGTTTGAAACAGTAAACAAGTTGTCTCTGCAACCTTTACCACCATTCTCTTTTCCCATTTTGTAAACACCGTTATCAATTTACCATGTAATATACACGTTAACGTATCTTACTACATCTTGCTGTATCTTATTCTTCTTATATCACAAACATTTTTACATTGCATAAATATACTATTTCCTTTTGTTTTATTCTTAGCGTTAATCATTATTACAACATAATAACATTTTAAAACGTATCTGAATAAAAATATTTATATCTTGGAAATATACGATTTATCGTCTATGTAAAATTATATTTTTTTCGTTTAATATATGTGCAATATTCCATCCATTATGTTAATACTTTTACATAATAAAAGTTTCCATTCAGCGTTTTCTTATCTTCGTCAATATGCTACTGTATTTCTAGTGAGTATTTCTTTTCTTTTTTATCGTAAATCATTAAAAAAATATTTACTTTCGTTTTAGAAATAGAACAAAAGATGACTGAAAATACAGAAAATGTGGATGATACTGCTTTGAAGGAAGCAAGTAAAAAATCAGTCCAACCACCGAGAACACCTAGTCGTTCCTCTAGAAGTTCATCCCTGACGCCAACAAAAATTAGTACCAGAAGTACACCAAAGCATGCAACAACACCATTATGTAGTAAATCATCTACACCAAATAAAGAACAGTCTGTAGAAAAAGCAAAAGACTTATTGACTGGAATATCGGAGCAAATTCCAGATGAACATATAACAACCGAAAGAGATTTAAAAACTCCTCCTCCTCCCCTGCAAAAGGATCATCATGAGGATGATGATGAAGAAGATGAACAAGATGCAATGATACTTGCCCAAGAAAAAGTACAAACGTCTACTTCTGATGACTTAAAGGGATATTTAAGCGAAGATCAAAAAGAAGAAGAAGAAGATAATTTATTAAAAGATGATGCTGACGAAGATGCATTACTGAAAGATACATCAGAAGATGCATTACTCAAGGATACATCGGAAGATGAATTATTGAAAGATTCATCGAGAGATCTATTACTAAAGGATACGTTAGAAGATAAGTCGTTGGAAGAACCATTGGAAGACGTTGAGGAACAATCTTCTGAGATACCCATAGATTCGAGTAAAAAAGTCGAAGACAGTCTAGAAGAAATGAATGAAAGAGGAGAGCGCGAAGACGTGGAAGAGGAAAAGGAAGAAAAAACAATTGTTGGTAACAAAAGCACTTCGGAGAATGTTGAATCAATAAATGAAAATAATCAAAATACATCGAACGAAGAAGTGCAAAAGGACGTTGAGAAAAATGAACTAGATGTAGAATCAAAGGATGATATTTCCGATACAGACGGCGATGTCGAAATGAAAGAAAATGTAGAAGCGGTGGAACATGTTGTTGAAAAAGAGAAAGATTCAATGGCAGAACAATCAACTTCAATTATTTGTGAAAATCAAAAAGAATCTGACATGATACAGTCGGAAGATGAAAAGAATACTCAGATAGAAGAAACAATAGTTGAAAAAGATGATCAACAACAGTTAGATACAAAAGAAGTGACTGAAGAGGAATGTAATAATGACGTATCTGTACCTGATCAGGTAATTTCATTTTTAATTTTCTTTTCTTTTCTAATGAATTAATGGTTTATTAATAATTCAATTTTCATTTCATTGAAGGACGTAGAAATGGTTGAAGTTAAACGCGAAGAAAATATAAAGGAAGATAATAAGGACTGTAATATGGATCATAATGACAGAAAACGTAAAAGATCTTCTAGTCCTCCTGAAGAATACCCTTTATTACCTTTACCAGAAAATGAACCTGAAATTAATAATTCTGCTGTAGTTTTATCTTGGTGTAAGTTTTTCATATTTTCACTATTTTTAATATACATGTATGTATATACATATATATATATATATATATATATATATATCATTTTTAATATTCCATTTATACTTAATTGATCAACCAACAATGTTACGATGTTTTTAGATGACTCAGATTTAAATTTGCTTATTGACAAAAATGGTTTCGTATCTGCTACACCAATGCATAATGATGGTTTCTGCTATATATGGGCAGGAGCTCGAGCATCTTATGGATATACAAGCGGAAAGATATATTACGAAGCAAAGATCATTGATTGCTGTTCTATTAATATACAAGATGAAGAATATTCGCATGTACTTCGTTTAGGATGGTCTGCTTCTTATACTTCTATGCAGCTTGGTGAAGACAAATTAAGTTATGGTTATAGTGCAATAGGAAAGAAATGTACAGAAAATAAATTTGAAGATTATGGATCGCAATTTAATAAGGATGATATTATTGGATGTTATGCAGACATGTCGCTTGAAAATGACGTTATCTTATCATATACATTGAATGGAAAAGATTTAGGAACTGCGTTTTCTATATCCAAAGAAGAGCTTGGAGATAAAGCATTATTTCCACATGTTCTAAGTAAAAATTGTACTTTTACTTGTAATTTTGGTCAAGAGAAACCATGGAGCGAAGAAATTTTGGAAGGATACACGGTAGTTGGTACCGTTGATTTAGAACATAGTACCCCTGGACCACGAAGACCAGAGACAAAACAGGATTGTGAAGTTCTTATGATGTGTGGCTTACCGGCTGCTGGAAAAACTGCATGGGCAACAAAACATGCGGCACAATATCCAGAAAAAATGTACAATATTTTGGGAATAAGCACGCTTGTTGATAAAATGAAAGTACGTATATAAAATAAGACACTGTTCTTTATTCATAAGAGAAATAATTCGAATTTTTATTTAGAATATGGGCCAACCACGAAAACAAAATTACCATGGTAGATGGGAAGTACTTATTGAAAAATGTACTCGTACTTTAAACAAGTTATTAGAAATGGCATGTAGTAGAAGACGTAATTACATTTTAGATCAGGTGAGAAATAATGTAAAAAAAATATATATATATCATTGAAATCAAAAAATCTAATTAACGTTTTTGTATCTAAAAAACACTATAATTATTGTAATATATATTTTTTTTTAATGAAATTTATACAGACAAATGTGTATCCTTCTGCACAAAGACGAAAAATGAAGAATTTCCGTGAATTTCAACGTAAGGCAATAGTTGTAATACCAACGAACGAAGAATTCAAATCACGTACTGCTAAGCATGAAGCAATTGATGGAAAGGCTGTTCCTGATTCCGTGGTCATGGAAATGAAAGGTTTGTTAAAAATTTTTCATAATTACTTTTCTGCAGTATCAGTAATCCTAAGGTTGCTGTAAATTTTATATGTAATTATTGAATGACGTGCATACATTTAAATACATAGACATACATATATATATATATATATATATACGTGCAAATTTTGTAATTCAAATTTTCAATTTTAAAGCCAATTTTAGTGCTCCAGAAGTAGGAGAACTCTTCGATAATACGGTTTGGGTTGAACTTAACAAAGAAGATGGTAGGAAATTAATTGAAAAATACAACAAAGAAGGAAAGGAAGCCGGTTATGGCCAACAATCTACCAGTAAACGACCAAGATTCGAAAGAAGCGAAGGCCACAAAGATAACCGTGATTCAAGAAATAGTCGTGACAGTAGAGATAGTCGAGACAGTCGAGACAGTCGAGATAGTCGGGATCATCGGGATCATCGCGACAGAAGAAATAATTGTGAGTAATTTTGTTTTTCTAATCTGTTTTTTTATGCAATGATAATGATGACGATAGTAATAATAATAATAATATGATTTGACTGTGTATTGGTTTTTTAGATTCAAATAGAAATCGTAATTCCATGTGGCGTGGTAGTAGTAGCATGGGAAGTTGGAGAGACAGATCTTTAAGAGGAGGTCATATGAGGCACAGTGGTGGATATGGTCCACCAAGCAATTGGAGAAGCAGAGGTGGTATGCCTATCCCACCACATCGTGGAGGAGATAGGAGAGGTGGAAATAATGACAGAAGAAGTGGAAATGATAGAAATCGATCAGTAGCGCGACAAAGTGGTTGGGGTTCTGCAAGGTATAAGATGTTTTGCGTTGAGATAATATATACCTAATTAGGCATTTGATTTTCTTTTTCTTCTTTTAATTTTTTTTTCTATCGTCTTTCAAGAATACAACGTTTATCTCTTCTTAATACCTATTTTCGTTTATTATTAGTAGTTACCAAGGATCACAACCATCAGGATGGAATCAACAAGGTGGTAGTTGGTCAAATAGCAGCCAATCACAAGGAGGTTGGGGACAAGGAGGATGGGCAGGACAGCAGCAATCAGGCAGTTGGAAGAGTTATGGCCAAGGATCATACAGCCAATGTAGTTACAATCAACAAGATTATGGCAATGGAAATTGGAACCAACAGTATTATAATCAGTATTGGGATCCGCAGCAGTCAAGTGGGCAGACAACTGCAGCTGGTAGCCAAGCTGTAAGCAAACAATAATCCAGCACAGTAAATGTTACCAGAGTGGAACAGAAAGTAAGGTATAGATGCCTTCAATTTTTCTTGTTTCTATACTGTTGTTCACATATTTATTTATGTAACTAGTTAAATAGCTAAAAATTATTTCGTCTCATACTGACGAATTACTTTTAGATTTCTAAACATGGAGTAAAGGAGTATGCTATAAGATAGCATAATTCAAGCTGTTACATATTGCACATTACATATAAAAGAATTATTAAATGACTGTGATGAATACATCGACGAAGAGAATGATCGTATATCTAAACTTATTTTGTTTTCTTTTTGTGTTTATATGTATAAAAGAAGTTGATGGAGTTTAAAAATAATATTTATATTGCTACACATATTTTGAGGAAAAAAAAAAAAAAGAAAAGAAAAATACATATAAAAATCTGAACATTCTCATAATGTTCTATATTATTTTTTAGAAAGGACCACTCACTCTACTACCTCACTTTCTGATTCTCATTTAAGATATTAATAAAATTGTACAAACACTAATGGTATATAGACAAAATAATCTTGTACACACAAAATTGAACAAAGAGTAATGAGATATTTTTTAAAGACTACACTTCAAAAAGTAAGTGTTTACTTACAGCAATAATAATCTTTTAAAATGTATTAAGATTATTTGCTTATAGAAACCATGGTGGATATCACTCAGTAAAATAAGCTTCTGTCTAATAATGCTATTGTTTTTTTTTTTTTCTTTTTTTCTTTTTTTTATATATATATATTTACCTTGCTTATTATTACGAGTAAATATTTCTTTCGTAGACAATAGTAATTGGCTTTCCTTAAATTTATCATATCAAAATAGCGTGTCAAAATAACCAATTGTGAAAATAATATTGATTTATAATAATCAATTATTTGCAATGATATATTTATATTCTAAATATAAATAAATATATATATATATGTGTGTGCATGAAACATGTATGAATATTCCTATTTACAGGTAAGCACAAGTGTAACAGAAATCTCTGAAGATTCAGAGGCTAAGTATAGTCACCCACAAAGATGGCAAGGATATACACAGACATATTCTTTTCCCTCTCAGAATGCTACTACAGACGTCCAACAGTCCCAACAACACAAGTAGAAAATATATTTCTAGATAAAAGAAATGTAGCAATAATACATTCATTTTTTGTTTCACTATCTTGCAATGTGTATGTTTTTTAGGAAATATTGCAATAATAGCAATAAACGATATGCTTTCGATGCTTCAACAATACAGTAAACAAATCTTATTAAGGCATTAAAATTATATCGTATCAAAATTCTAAATTATATATTTTACAAAGTGGTGCATTGAGAATGCAGGAAGCAAAATCATTTTATAAATTTAATTACTATATCATAGAAAATAATCCTACTATATATATATATATATATATATATATATATATATATATATATATATATATACATACATATATATATATACACGCATATATACATACACATATACATACATATATATGTATATGTATATATATATTTAGTTATCGATTAAACGTAGTTCTAATTCTGCAAGTGCATTAACATAACATTGACATATAATCAATATGAATAGTATAATTATTACTTTTATAACGGGTTTATAACAAATGTTTAAAGAGGAATATTACTATGTATGGATACATTACATGATTAGTATTATGGCAACAATCTTTAATTATTTATCATTATTATTATGAAAGAAACCGTGTAAATATGTACATATCTCATTATTGAGTTATGCAAAAATAATTGGTAATCTATATTTATATTTTAAGACAAATTTTTAAAAAATATTGTTATATTTTGTCATGCAGAAAATCAAGAACAAATACCCATTTTGTTTCAACTTTCCATATCAATGATGGTGTATAAAGATATGGCATGAATGAATTATTCTTGGACTTATACAAAATTATTTTTTATTATACGAAAGGACTGTAAAGACTAATAACTATCTTTATCCTTATATACAAAACTAAAAGGGAAAAAATGATATAGGCAAGAATATAAGCCCCTTAATGTTTGGTACAAATGTCATAGAGATCAGAATTGCAAGAAAAAAAAATATATATTTTTATTTATACTCTTTTCTAAAGGATAATAATAAGAACGATCAATTGAGTTTACAAGATAAATTATATATGTATATTATATATGTGTGTGTATATATATATATATATATATATATATATACACATATATATATATATGGAAAAAGAAAAAAAAATTAATTTCTAGAGAAACAAAATATTATAGCATGTAAATCTAAAAATTATGAAATAAATAACATAAAATATATTTCCGTTGCTCATGTAGCATGTTAAATGTATCTGTAATCCAATGTAATTCCTCTGTCTATATATTCAAAAATGCAAATATCTTTTTTAATAATAATAAGAATTTTGTGGTTTTTCTATTTTCAAAATGGTGTATTATTATATATTATTCTCTTACACATTTTTCTGTAGAGAGTTAAAAAGTGTCGGATTAGTTATATAAAATATATATCGCGAAAATTTTTTCATAATTGTGATCAAATAAGTAATGTCACGTGACTATCTGTGTTGTAATAATATAAGCACTTGCATTTTAAAAATATATGTGAATAATCAGGGTTAATATACAAGTAATTAACCCGATTATGATTATAATGGAAATTTTAAAAAAGAAAACGTAGGTAAGGCAGATAACTTGGCAAATGTTTATACTGTCAAAAATCTTTAAGTTATAGTTAAGTACATTGTACTTATACTATTAAACATAAAAATCTTGTTATCTGCTCTTCCTTAAAAAAAATATTGTACAGTGAAAGACATTTCGAATGAAAAGTCTTTATCAAGTACATCAAGTTGATTATACAATAAATTAGAATTTAGATGACTATATATTCAAACTGTGAGAATATTAAGAAGTATGAAGAGAGTGTGACATATTTTATAAGAAATAATCAGAAAATCTATTTAAGCTAAGTGTAGGATAGAATACCATTATAATGTTACCACAATTCAAAGCTCACAATATTCGCAATGCCTTCTGTAAAATCACCCAAATGCGTCATATTCGAAATTTTTTCTATACGAGAAAGATTATAGTGCATAATCGATAAATTTAATTGTTAACGAAAATGTGTACAAACTTATTCAAAGAAATAAAAGATTTCTTCTACCTATTTTATCAATAATTATTATATTATAACAATTTTAGTAATTAGTGTATATTTTCTAAATAAACTTGAATAAGAAGAAAATATTCATTTACTATTCTTTTAGTCCTATCTTTGCATTAATCGTTAAAACTATGAATTGTCCATTAGTAAAAAAAGATGATAATATTCAATTATTTCTTTATATGTATTCCTTGATAATTCTATGCCAAGTTATAATAAAGAGTGAAACAAAGGAAAAACAACTTTTTTGTTTTAACAGTTGTAACATTTATGCATATGTTCTTACAATAATTTCAATTTTTTACAAAAGACAATAATCAAAGGGAAGGAGTAAAATTTTCGAATAAAACGCATGCGAGTGGACAGTATAATTCAATTTTTATGTATATATTTATCTTTTTCAGAAAGAAATACAGTAATCTGTACATATTCTACTTATACAATTTAAAGAGTTGCCGCTGTAATCATCGCGAAATTTGTATGTATGATTTCAATTAAATATTCAATCATCAGAAGAGTAAAAAGTATAAAGTTTATTACCACGATTTGTAGATTAACGACAAATACGTTTTATTTTAATCGAGATTACTTTGTTTGTCTCCACGGGCTTTATTGAATCTTTTCGCTTTTTATTTTTTCAATTTAGACGTAAGACGAAAAACATATTTGGCGAGATAAACGATTACGTGTTTTTAGTTATAGCCACTAATATGTAAGTATTTTTGTAATATTATAAAGCATAAGAGTAGATACTTCGTTGATTTTTATTATGTGCTAATATAAAAATTTCGAAACGATTGCATTTAAATATGCAATCAAAAACAAAATAACGCGTAAACAATTAGAAAAAGATTCTTAATTTAGAGGTATCTACTCGCGTACAGTTATAGACTTACATATTTCATTATGCTTGATGACGTATTTTATTTACTTTTATAGAATGGATGTAATTGATAGATGATGAATATTTGAAGGACACTTAGTATAAAAGTTATATAATACAAGTTTATATATTTGAATATATCAGTGTCAATAGCTTCTTGTATATTGTGATAACATAATAAACGTCATGGTATTATCTGTGTTTATATATATAGCAATAATGAAAGCATTCCAGAAAGCCTAAATACACATATTGTGCAGAGATGTTATACTTCCAAACGATGATTCATGTTACACAATTATGATCATGTAAGTGCACTGTATAGTTTATATGACATTAACTGTAGAACCGTGTAGAATGATATATCTATTTTAAAAAGGAAACCAAAATATCTGTCATGGATAATAGCTCGTCCGTCTGTATACTATGTTATTATTTAGACTTTTTAAGCTTTCTTAGATATCCAATGTTTAATAAAATCATCACGCGCTAAACTAATTTAGTATCCATGATACCTCCACCCTTGTTAGTTCCTCCTCTTATATAAATATTTTTCTTTAAATATCCTCCTACTAACAATATAATATAAAAATTTATTGATTATAAATGTAAAACAAATCATTATGTTAAAATATATTTAATATATTTTGTTAATCGACCAATCTATATATCTATATATATATATATATATATATATATATATATATATATATATATATTTAATTATATTTAATATATATATATATATTTTAAGAAATGCACACAATTCGCACCAAATACTTTCGCCTTACGTCAGCTTAGATGAAATAATTAATTTAATGAAAATAGAAATATATCAGGTAATACGCTACAATTAAAATATAAAATAAATCTTACGCATATTAAGTGCATATGCATATTAAATACATTAATATAACATGATTACCATACTTTTTAATGCAGCAATAAATAGTAAATTGTGTTTGTGTGCATGCAGCAGCTGATGTCACATATTTGTTGTGTGTGTGTGTGTGTGTGTGTGTGGTGCGCGCACGCACGCGCGTGCGTGTCGTGAATGTGCTCTCACAATACACCTCGTATGTATATATCTAAATGTATATATATTATGTGTATATGTGTGTGTATATATATATATATATATTTATATATATATATATATATATATATATGTATATATATCTATTTACAATTCAATTCATAGCAATGTTTAAACACTCTTGAGTTTTAATAACTCATATAGATAAATTAAATACATTAGTCAAACTTGTTCTATTAATTGAAAAACCTACTATACACTTAATTCAAATGACACTGGGTTTTATGAAAAATATAATATTACTTTTGTGCAATAAATTGTCACACGTTCTCTCTCTTCTTTTCCTTCTATTAATCTACATGTTCATTATTTTCATTTGTTCCTTCGTATGATCTCTTTCTTTGTGTAATTCATTATTTGTACATTTAACTACATCAACTATGAAAGGATTTACAAATGATTCTATACAATTTTTCAATATTAAAGTAGCCTGCTACACCCAGATAGAGAATAACGTTTCTTTTGCTTTATATGCATTTGAAATCGTAGATCTTTAGATAGTTTTTATTTATATGAAAATCACCATTAGTAAGTCAAGACAGTTACAAACTGTATCCGATATACTATTTGGGATTTTATTTTTTATAAATAATTAGCGACTATTTTTTCACTGAAACTCGAATCAGACCTGATATTCGTGTATCAGTATGCCAGGATATTATGCCACATTTTATTGGCAAAATTAAAGCCAATTTTTCATTACAATTACGTATCTTCAAATAAGTTCTCATAAAAAAGTACTATACAAAGATTCGAAAGTGTCAGTGAAAATACAGTCCTTCACATAAAAATACGAGAAAAACTGTAGAAAATTTCCGAGCAAGGTAAATTTTCTATAGTTTTTTTTTTCTTTTTTTTTCTTTTTCTTTTTTTTTCTTTTTTTTTTTTTTTATACACACGAAAACAATATATAAAAACATCTTAATTCATGTAATTTATCGAGGAAATGTAATGCATGGCTACGTTTCCAATACAGATTATATGAATGGACGGGTTGTATGAAAAAGGAAACGCTTTTTCAACATTTTCTTTAAGAGAAGGACAAAATAGTACATTTACGTATTGCTGTTCCGAGTTATCTACTGATTAGCCTGTTTATCTACCCCAATCGTAGTAAAAGTTTGTTACCTACACATAACACAATATTATTGTTGTTGTATTATCCAATGTCACGGATTGAGTCCGATTGGTCTTTTACGATTTCGTCTGTTCCTTTCCAGAAGGAAGGATAAATCCAATGGATCTTTCTTGTTTGGCATTTTTTGCAACAAATTAATCAGAATACTATTCAGTCTCTTTCTCTGTTCTTCCCTCTGTAAAAAATTTTTATTTTTACAGAGTCAATTTTATGAAAGTTCAAAAGAATAGAAATTACAACCTGTTACCCCGACTGATTTACCTGAGCATAAGATGTAACAGTTGGCGTAATAGTTAAAATTTCACTCGATCTCCGTCTAGTCCTGCTATTAGACGCTTTATCTTTACTATTTACTTTTGTATTTTCAGTTGACTCCGTTTTCTGATTATGACTACTATCTGCATCTTGATTATTCTTTTTCTTATCTTTATTAATTTTAGTACCAACGTTAATACCATCAAGACTGTGAGGCTAGAAACAATTATAATATTAGATTTTCAGTGATTCTTCCGACGTATCGTTTAACTTTGATTAATGAATTTTAATGCTATTAAATATTACTGATTTACCAAGTATGTGCGATAATGTTTAATCCGTTGCGAAAATGTTTCAAATGCATAAGGTTTCGTGCACACCTGATGTCTGGCTCTGGCAACTTTTGTAAAAAGACGTGCAGCGCGATCAACGCGATACTCACAAACATAAGTATGCTCTGGTGTAGACCCAACTGGTCGGCCTATGTTCGTTATAAAATATTAAAATAAAATGGGATAGAACGAAAA